AAGTCTGTTTTACATTATATTTTTAGTTGTTCGTCCCGCACGAGCCCAAGCCGTGTACCCACTTACCTTAAGTACACATGGTCGCGACATCAGTTTATACAGCAATCCCGCGGGAATCCCGCGAAGGATCAGGTACGTGCGAGGCCCTGATGGAAGACCGAATACTGCGGCGCGATTCCTTGGAAGTCCAGACAGCTACATTGAGTTCCCTAACCGTGGTAAACTGGACACTAAACGCTCCATCACCCTCTTGGCTTGGATCTTTCACGAGGGACGAGCAGGACCCATCTTCAACTACATGCCAAACGGCTGGGGCGTGCACTTTTGGATGATCACACCGACGACGCTGTTTGTACGGTTTACGCGTCGCAGAGGTCGGCGTTTTACCGCAGCTGTGACGAGTAGAAGGGTGTTGCACCGTCGATGGCAATTTGTAGGAGCCACGTACGATGGAAGGACTGGAATTGCTAAGCTGTTTGTCAACAGGCGTTTCGTAGCAAGAAGACGCATAGGAAGAATACGATTGGCCACTAACTATCCTGTCAGAATGGGAACTCGTGTTGGAGATAACCGCTACTTCCTCGGTCGAATCTCGTGTATGCAAGTATATGATCAGCCCTTGACGTCATCACAGATCCTTCGACGAAAAAAGAGATGTTTCACACGAGGTAACATGCAGACAACGTTCTCGAGAAATAAATTTACTCCGCTACTTTTATTTCTCCACTAAATGTGCTTCCAAAGTAACCGAAGTTCTCATGCTAATCTGGAAATTTTCACAAGTGTTCGTTATTTAGAAAGATAAATTTATTCATTATAGAAAACTGAGTTGAATTAATTGTTATTGACGAGTTTTATTCAGCAAGCTTGTTTTTCTTTTCTTTTGGTTTTCTTTTTGTTGGTTATTTTTGGAGAAAAAGATCAGATTTACAAAGTTAGCATTTTGTTCTCATTGTTGTTGTTTCAGGCCCTGTGATTGTGCCAACAGTCATTCGCCCAGCCGGACCAGGTGATTACTCCTTTTTCTCTCTCTTTCACTTACTTTACTGCGCTTACTGGGATCCGCCCAAATTATGTTCTCACTTTAAAAGAAACCCAATACACTTCTAAAGAACAGGATCTTTCTACTCTCAAAACTTCATCACCATCCACTCCGCTACAACTGTAGGTCTACTTTAAATTTTACTGAACCTCTGGGACTGCTTTGTCACGAATGCTTATTGTTTTTTTTTTTTT